GCCAGTATTTCCCATGCGTCTCTTTTCCGCTCAAGGAAAAGGAACTACGTAAAAATAACACCGAATCAAAAACAAAAATTCTCTATCGTTCAATCAGTCTACGGGGCAAATAAGTGTAGGTATCCAGTTATTTTCTAAGGAAACATTTTAACCCTTCTTAAAACTTCCTGATATGCCAGGTTACACCCAGAAAAGGCTTGACATTTTTCTCGAGTTGAAAATCACGTTACAAAGTAAAAATTCCACCGGTTGAAAAATTATACCGGCTTTGGAAACGTTTCTGCTGACGGAGGCGTTTTAGATTTGCGAAGAACAACACTATAATTATTTGTCACAGCTACTTCTTCATTTGAACTCTCCCTCAGGGAAATTTCTAATTCTGTGCTTTTGTGTACTGTCTGAATCAGCCTCAATGCGTGTTTGTAGTCTTAATTGACACTGCAAGCTATTAGCAAGTTCATAAGTCATAGTCTGTTGCGCATTAAATTTTGCCTTGATTCTTAGCAAAGAAACACTGACAATCCAAACTCAGTGTGACCCTTCGGTAAGACCAAGCCTCTCTAATAATCCATGATTAGTTGTTGAGTTGAAACGAAAATCGAAGTAGTCGTACATACCGCCGGATAAAACAGGAAAAATTAATAATTACAAAGACGTTGCCGTCAGGCCGTGCGAGGTAAAACGTCTCACGGTGTTTACAGTTCTTTGTAAACGTCTGTAGCAAAGATTCCAAATCGCATGTAAGTAATTGAGAACATAAAAACCGCTATTTCTAAGCTTTTAAGAAGATTTCGACAGATTTAGCGCTGCTTCACGGTGATGCTTCAGATCAGCTTCATGGAAACCGCCGATGAATAGTCACGAAATACAAAGATACAAGTATTGTGGTTAATTTGCTGTAAAAGTTGCTCAACATAAATATTTGTTTAGAAGACTCAGGAATACATTTTGCCGGCGTCTACTTCTCTGAGAAGATATAAAAGGTAAAAATCACCTCAGGCGAAGAAGTGAGACTTAATATGAAATCTTAGCAAATCACTTGCATGTCGTTTGACATCAGTGCCTTCAGACTGAGCGAACAGTCCATTCAGAATTAATTTTCCGCCAAGTATTGAACACCAACAATTCAATGTAAATATATGAAACGGAATATTCAAAATCACGTGCGATGAAAAATTTTACGAACAGAGAATAACCGCAAAGAAGGTTTTCCTAAGTAAACATCCAAATTTAAAGGCACTTGAATTGAACTTACCACTTCTGACCGTTATAGGAATGTGTTGCTACAGTATAACCAAAGAGGTCGCTTTCAGCGGGGCCATCGTAGATAACCGGCGATTTGACGTCCAAGTTGAAGGCGAAAACTTTACCAAGAGTTAAAATAAATGCAAAATGAAGGACATTCGTTGATGGCCTTAGTTCCATTGCTAATAATAAGGTGACTGCTGCTTTCAAATTCAAAGTTTATGTCGGCCGTGTTTTGACCGAAACTGAAGTGAGAGGAAGAGTTATAGTTTTCACAAATGACGTCACAATTCCGGCTGAATAGCAAGCGACCCCGCCAAATATTACAGTGGGCGTAGATCGATTGAGTCATAAACCACTTTTGATTTGAAGAAGATAACATTAGAACCCACTAATTGCGGTTAAAAAATATTAAGAGGTGATATCTTCCATTTTCCTTTCAAGAAAAAAACAGATTCATGAACACGAGTTTCGTCCATTGTGCAGTATCAATTTTACAGTACCGACCAATTGATCAAACTTAAAGATAAATTTGTTGTTTTAGCTCTTCAAATTGTTTGGGGTACTTGAAATCTTAGCTAAACTTTTTCCTCTGGCTTCATCCTTGAGTTGACCTCTAACATGCAAAATAAACACGCACTTTCAATTTGATCAAAAGACCCATTTGATTATCCGAAAACAAAATGTATAGCCGAACCTCAAGAATCTCGGTGAGAGACGTGATTTAAATTGAATAAGCTACACAGCTAGCTTACGTGGAAGTTTTAATTTCAATATAAAGTCACGCTTTATATTTTGTGTGCATTCCTTGATTTCAATCTAATACGAACCAGATCTGTCCAACGCATGAAACTTTCCCCATTTCAAAGTAACTACCCCCGAAGAGCCATAGTACTAAGTCTTGATGGTTTTAAAGTAAATAAAATTTTCAGCATTAATTTCTTAACAACGAAGAAGAGGATTTTTACTTTATGGCTTTTTCGAAAAGATGTTTTTTTTTAAACGCCTTTAAAAGCAGATGAGACAACCTGTTGCGTGAATAATAGCAAGCCATTACCCAGAGAAGATCGACTTTTAATCATTTTACGTCACATAACAGACAAATAACTGAAGGTCTTTAAGTATCTGGGGAAGTTCAAACGTAGGAAAAATAGCAAATTCTAAACGGATCGGGTTCAGACAGAAAGACATATGAGGGCGTATGAACGATCGCCCCCAAAATATGTGAAACATCAATTCATGGGGATTCCTGTGACGCCTTTGCGTCTTCTGTCATTATGCATTTTTTGAATAACATGATCCGAGTTTTATCCTCACTGCCAGTCCTCTGCGTGGGTGGTGAGCTGGCGGGGGCCTGGGAAAAGGTGGACATTTCAGACATGAGAGATATATTTTACAACAGTTCGGACTAACAACCTTAAGTTTGCCGGTGACTACAAAATTTTTTTTAGTAAGATAGAGAAGACTAGAGAGATAAGGAAAGACCGTAAAGGTTTAAGGATAGGGCGGAAAATGGAGACAATTGTTCATTAGACAGCTACTGAAAAAACTCCAGCCCAATTTTTTTTAAGACACAAAACGCTAGACGTAGATCTTCCCTTTTCTGTCGAGAAACTTTTTGTTGTTTCTAGGTATAGTGTTATCATAAAGTAAATCAAGTTGATGAACAACATCACAAAACAAGTACATGGCCTGGCCCGGCTTCGTTAAGGCTTCTTCCTCTGTTCAACATCTATATCACAAAATTGACTCGACCGTTGAAAATGACGTAAAGGGTATTTCCCCAATCTAGTGCGAGAAGCTCTGACTGTGGTTATTTTTTTTCTTTGCCAGATCAGTTGAATGCCTATCCTGCTGATAAGAATGTATTTGCACCCGTCCACAAAAAGAGATCACATAAAAAAGGGTTCTGTCAAATATCATCGCAAATTGCCGGTCAACCCTTTGCTTTTCGGTTACATATTTCGGGTTATATTCTGTGTTGTAAGAGTTCAAAAGGATCGCAATGGCAAAAATTATTTAATTCCGTGTTACCGTGCCGAATTCCTACCGGGAAAAATTCAACCTGCACGCAATAAATGATAAGGTAATCTTATTGCGTGCTGGCTTGAATATTTCATATGATGAAGGATCACGAGGCTGACAATGGGTGGTATAGCATTTTCTGCCTAGCTGCTATGACGCCATTGCTTTGAAATGCTATACCGGCCGATCCTGGGGCTGAGATCTAGCTTAACTATATGACAGCACTTGAAACATATCCTTGTGGATTAGTTTACAAATAATTATTTTTTGGATAAAACTTTAGCACGCTTTGCTTACTGTTTACCAATGTTTACATTTCGCCAATCTTTTCAAGTTCTTCGATTTCGATATAACGACGCATTTATAGCGCAAAATACCATAATTTATCGTACGGAAGCAATAAAATAAATACCGTTATGGGTTAATTATTCATTATCATGTTCGCTGTCATTATTATTGTTACAATTATTATCATTATCATTAGTATATATCAAAAAAGTAAATAATGCTTTTAGCGCGCGCTGATTGGTTAGTTCGAAAGTGAATAGCAAGCACTATTCACTGAGCAGCCGATGAGAGTTCACTTTTAGACCATTTTTCGGTTTATTTAAAGAAATAAACCTATTTTATGGTATTTTTGTGTTATGTACTAAAATAATTATTCACTTCTGCACCAGCCTCGCTTCGCGGCTCGGTAAAATATCCGCCACTATTCACCTCAACTTCGGTGAACAATTATTTCATCCCAGACCTTGTGGGAATTAGAAGCCAAACAGAGACAACACGCCTGTCGAGCCAGGATGTAAACCCCACCCACTCTATCATTCTTCTTACTTCAATACGGCTGGACTGTCGGTAGCTTCGTTATTTTTATATGGCGGAACTGAACATTTTTAGACTGAATGTCGGAATAATCCATTTTGCTACACCCGGTTATTGGTTAAAAAAAAAAAAAAATCGTGTCAGTTACACTACAAATCAGTGGTCGCTCGCGTGAGCAGAGGTCCGCTTTAGCCCTTGCTAATCCTTGTATATGTCTCTCCTTACTCCACAAGTTTTTTTTTTCTATGAGTGAAACAGTTAATTAACAAATTAATCTGCATGGGGTCCCACTGACTCTTTCGTATTTCTGAGAGCCCTTCAGCTCTTTGTGAATTTTTCTTTTATTCTCTTCAGCTTAGCCATAGTGAAACTGCTAAATGTTTTGTTTCATCGCATCAGAGGCATATACCGACCAACTTAGAAAAGGCTGTGCACTTGTAAATACATTTCGACCCTCGAAATGTCAGCATCAACAACTACTGTCACCAAAACTGTATAACATTGCCACGGGGATTTGATACATACTTGTTTGTCAAGCAATTTATGGTTACAATATTGCGTGATTTATTCCCATCATCCAAAGTTTGAAATCAACTTGAAAAAACAAAAGATGCACTCAAGAGCACGCGGATATAAAACCGGAATTACTCGGTTCATTTCTTGGTTACCGGTCGTAAATAACAAATACATTAGTATAGCTAGTGACCAGAAGAATAGCTTATTCTACCTTCAAGGCTATCCCAAGGTTTTGTTTGTTATGTTTGCTTTGATACGCTCAGTAGTTTTTTTTTTTTTATCTTTTAAAGAACATTTACTATACTCAATTTAAGCTTTTAGATTGCGTGACTTACCGTGCGCAAACACATGACGTCATTTGACTAGAGAAATCACTTGACCTTGACAGACGATAGATGGTAATAGACCCATTTCTTCCTTTGCATTAGCAAGGAAGAGTTAGTTTGCTAGTCTAGCTTTTTTTGCTCGAGTTTTAATCGCATCTTCTTTCCTCTCGCCAATATACATCAGTTGAACGACTTTTGCGATTTTATTGGCACGAATCGCCGGGCGGACCAATCTTGACCCTTTAGAAGGCTCTCGCAAACAACGTGACAGAGAACCGACAAAGACAGGCGACCTTTAGTACATGAGATCTAGAAAGGTCCTTAGTTTCGTTTAAGGGCTTTTTCGTTGGCGCTGTTTCAGTAGTGGCGTAGGTTCAACGAGAAAAATTTTCTCTTTCGTGGTTGCAAACTTTCTGGTTTCGAAACGGGGGTTAAAACATCAGCCTCTAAACTCCGACATTCCATTACACTAAAGACGCGCACATCCGCCGCCTGATTCAGCAAAGAGTATCTCGCTCCGGATCCGACGTATTAATCTCTCCATCACCTGTTCATAAAGGAATGTCATCTGACATCACGTCTTATATTATTTGCAAAGTTGCTGTGTTAAAGAACTAGAGAAAGTTTTAGTAATCACAAGTGGCACACCATTTGTTCTCAGATCAAGAAGTAAGCGAAGGAATGAGGACAATACTTGGCACGGACCTTCGGACGTTCCTAGCATTAATAATTTTTCTACTGCAGTCTCTAGGCATCTATGGTTTTAACTTGGATACAGCCTCGCCTAAAGTCTTCGATGGGCCTCCGAAGAGTGAATACTTCGGATACTCGGTTGCTCTTCATTCGCGACAGAATAAATTCTGGTAGGTGTGTTCAAAATTAGCCTCGGCGTGTTCACGCTTCAATTCTACTTTTATTTCATCAAGAGGTCGTTTGTGAGACCTAATCCCAAGTGTAATTAGAACTTTAAACTCTCCTTACATAGCTCTCAAATTTTCGGTGTAACAGCAAAAAAATTCATTTCCTCTTCAAGAAAGAACACTCACTTTAATTAATTATATCGGCAAGTGAATGATATTTGTAGCTGCTCATGAAATTCCTTGACAATTCGGTTTCATTCATTCTGAATGTTCCGTAGTTGTGCATTTAGTACATACATAGCAGGTAATTTAATATTAACAACTGAGTTGAAAACGTAAATTAGCCACCGTAAAGGGTAAAAAAGCTGACGTTTCGAGCGTTAGCCCTTCGTCAGAGTGATTGGACGAAGGGCTAACGCGAGTTGAGACAGGTCTGTTTGTGGCAACCCAAGACCTGGTATGGACCTGCCATAAATTTCCTATACAACGCCTAGATTAAAATTATTAAAATTTTACATTTTTGAAGCGATTAGTTTCAGCATGATCTAGTTTGAATATCCATATTTGGATAAAAACGCAAATCAGTCTCATGAAAACATTCTTGTGCGAGTAAAGAGTGTGTGTAAAGCGAAAGGATTCCTATATCGCCATATATAAACAAAATCAAGGGGCTTAAACAAAAGGGCTTGTTTTCGTTGCGCTGACCGGATAAATGTGTTTAAAGAAAGACCATCAAGTCAATTAGACGTCAAGTTTTAGGATCGGTTTATTGACTGTTCTTTTACGAAAATTTCTGGTGCAAATTATGATAATTGAGATCAAGATGCGGGCGTATTAACGAAGTGTTATTTTAGTCTTCAAAATCTTATCAGCTCGGGCGGACAGTTATTAATGGACAATTTCCATGGCATCAAAAGATAAGCTTTGCACAATTGAATTAAGGAGTTTTGTTGCATTTGAAAAGGCTTCATGTGGAGAAGAAAGAAATACGGTTGCCATCAAGCAATACAACAACAACTCCGTATTAAACCTGTCTCTATAAGTTGTCCTAGATCTTCCATTTGTCCCAATACAGAACAAACATCTTGTTTTATAATAAATCCAAAACATTCAAAGCTTTAGGCACCCGCAAACCGACAGCCATGCGTCGTTTAATCACTGCGAATAGTTTACTCATGGCTCCTTTCAAAAGTGTTCCACTTTTAAATCCCTTTTTCATCTCATTTAAATTTCATGACTTGCATGTTACCAGTTGATTTATGTAGTGGCCAGTAAGGGTTGTGTATTTGGTATGATTTATAATCTAGACTAATAATGAGCAATCTCAACTGCTTGTAACATGACAGCATGACCTATAGTGCAAGATATCAACTTTTATGAAGTAAATGAAATTCTATGAGTACCAAGATTGGTTAAAAACCTATCATTAAATGCATCAGTAAACCCATAGTAGATTTAACAATTGGTTCATACATCAGCATGCGTTCATCGAGATATGAAGCACACGGGAAGTTTGGAGAGCAAGAAAGATGCGTAAGAGTTGCTCGAGGTGTAGCCGAGAGCAACTCTAGCTTCTTGAGTGCTCTCCAAACTTCCCAAGTGCTTCATATCTCAATGAACGCACAGCTGACATATGAACCAATTGTTTTATAACATTTTCAACACGATGGAAAACTTTTTTTCTTGAGGGATTTGTTTGCTGATGTCATGAGCATGCACAATTGGAATATGAAGCATGCTCGCGCAATTGAATTTAATTACACAAATTTACTGGCTATGTTATAATGAAGTTTATTTGTAAAAGTTATAGGCTGCACTCTCTTTTGGTTTACCAACCTAATTAACCACATGGAATGTTGGGGGAACACTGAAAAGTATGTAAATTGTGTGGCATGTTCTCCTGAAATCCTGCAGGGGCTATTAATGTTATACTAGGAAAACCAATAGATATTGCAACTTCCTTACTTTTCATTCAAGTTGTTGAGCTAAAATACAAGATCTAAAGTTTAATTCATGAGATCTCTACTTATAGCTTGAGTTCTTGACCTACAATGCACAATCTTAAGTTATAAAGCAATATCTACAGTTGTAGGTTTATCACACAATACAACTCAACAGGTAGCGGTATACTGGACACCAACCCCAAAACAGTGCCTGTGCTGGTGTTTAAAACTGCTCTTTATTTTAGGGGGCAAAGGGGATAAAGTTAAATGCACTTTTTTTTTTCTATTTTTATTAACAGGGTTATGGTTGGTGCCCCACTCAGTAATGTTACAGGTAACGATGGCTCACAGTTAATCAAGTATGGAGCTGTCTACAGATGTGAATATACTGGCTTACAAGAATGTAAAGTCATTACAACTGACAACCGGCGTAAGTATAAGTTGGATTACAGGTATTATTTCTCCAGCTAGCAGGGAAAGATTTTTAGTAAGTTGTTAATGTTTACATTAAAAAATACTGGGCATTTTGAGAGAGTATGGTTGCATAAGTTGTGCCTTTAGTTACAATTATGATTATTTCAAAAGACTTATACTAAGTACTAGGTAATTTTGATCATCATTTTGAGAGACCAGAAACTAATTTCTCCCTATATTTATAGTGCTGAATCTTTTATTAACATCATAAGAATGATTGAAGTAAAATCAGCAACCAAAGAAGCTTTGATCTATTATTGTCTTTGTTAATAACTGAGAAAATGTCTAGAAAACAGTATAGAGGGTGTGGATACTTGTGTTATGAGGTAAAGGGCTAAGCTAGTATGTGCTCATATCAAGGACATAGCCCACTCTTCAATGTATTGTAGGCTGTATTTTGAAAAAGTTTAATTTTTGTTCCAAAGTTTGCAAGAGTAATAAAAGTCAAGTGGGTGCAAATAATTGGAGGCCTGGGCTTAATTACAGGCCAACTATAGGCTGGCTAGGTCCCTGCATACAGTTACAGTTTGTATTGTTAGTAAATCAATTTAAAACTTCTCATTTATCTCATGGAGTTGTGGTTATAAGAAACAACAGTCTTGACATGTTGTTTTATTTTACATTTTACTTTTTAGCTGTTAGAAAACAGTTCTATTCAAATGAGTTGGTGGACATGGAGGTTAAGAGTGGACAGTGGATTGGCGGCAGTGTGTACAGCACTGGCACTAATGGAAGAGCTTTGGTAATTTGTTTGCCCTTTGACCCCTAAGAGTGATAAGCATCTAAGTTCTCCTCACAACATCACCCCTGAATCATGCGTTAAGGTTACAAGAATAAAGGAAATGATCACCAATTAAAGATGCTCTAGATTCATGGACAATTTCTCCTTGTCAGCACTTTAGGAAGTTTAAAGAGAACAATAATGAAGTAGAATATGCCAACTGATGTTAGGGTGTAAAGGGCCAAGATTATTTGATAAACAGTCATATACCTCAGGCTAAAACCTTTGCACCTCGGTATTACTATGCATATTTTCAATACTGTTATCTTAACACATTCTTTGGTACTAACAAAGACGATTTGTTTGGCAATCAAGGGCTTCTTGAATTAAAATATCATCTCCTCAGTTCTTGTGACCATAAAATTTGACTCAGGCCAGATAATACTTTAAGAAGAGATTAGGTGCATGTTTATCACTCTCTTTTGTTGGTCAATTAGCTAGTTATTTTAAAATTTAAAAGTTTTTTTCCTGTTACAAATAATTTGTTGCTTGATTTTTGTACACATACCAATTAGATGATAGAGTAAACTATGAATTTCTTTCATGATTATCATTGTCCATAAGAGTACATATTGCGCTAAACCGCTGAATTTGTCAAGTGGCTGTGGGAAATAGTCTGATGTACTGAAAACACATGTGATTTGAGAGCCATAGAAGGGTGTTTATTGAAAACAAGTTACTGGTAGATTGAAACTTCTCTATTTTTTTTAGGCTTGTGCACCCAGATATGTTTATCGAGATCTGCCCAATGCTGCTGGCCTGCAGTACTATTGGCTGTTGGGAAAGTGTTTCCTCATTTCTAGTGATCTTTCAGTTACAACAAGTGAACGTGTGCCTTGCATCAGTGGTATGATTTTTTTTCTTTACTGGAAACCCTCATACTCTGATGTATTACTAATTCTTATGACAGATGATCATTAATTTCTTTGTATCTAGTGACAATTGGTTTCATAATTGATTGATATTCTCTTGTTTATAATTTTCTTAACTTATCCATAAAATAAATTGTCAGTTCAAATTATTTTGAGAAGATTATTCATCAACCTTTCTAAGTAAGTTTAAATCACTCATTGTGCAAAGGAGCAGTTTAGTGGGACTTAGGTCACTCTTTCAAGTATTAACCTTGTGTATAAAATTCTCATGATTTGAATGGGATACAAGGACCTTGTTAAAGGTTAAAGCTATAAAAAATTGATGCAGTCAATTTTAATGTAAGTGGCACATTTGATGTAAGACCAGTAATATCAAAGGAAACTTAATGTCAGCAATGTACAAGTTTGACTCCTAAATCCACAGTGTGTCAACAATCTATTGACTCACATACACATACGAATTACCTGTGGGATCAATTTCCCTTGAACACCGACCTTACGTGCCATGTGCCAATCTATGATAACACTAAATATTATTAAAATTCCAAGCTCAAAATTTGAAGTTAACTTAGGAAAAATATATATCAAGTAGTTACCTGTAACACATATAGTAATAATAGAGTAGTGATTCACATGTAACTACAATAAGCCATTTTGCAGCCATGTACTTAGTTACCAGACCTTTGATTTGGAGTGAGGCTGATGGTGACCTTGTTATGATAGAGACCAGTATCTAGTTAGCATGATAACAAAGTAATTGGCATTTGAAAAGCAGCAACTTGAAGGTTTGTATCATAACAATGTCAACCTTAGCCTCACTCCTGCTCAAAGGCTTGGCAACCAAGCATGCAGTTGTAAAATTGGACCATTGAACCTGTATTAAACAGTCACCCACAGGGACTGTCAGGGTGACTGCTTCATACAGGTTGACTGCTTAATACAGGTTCCACAGATTAGGGGTATTATCAGGGCGACAGCTTACTGTGGTGCTCCTTAATATAGGTTTTACTCTGTAAGTTGTTCATTTTTCAATTTTTTTTATCAGAATCAAAGGGCAACAACTATTATGGTTACTGTGAGGCTGGGATAAGTGCAGAATACACTGTTGGATTTGATCAAGATGTGGTGATGGGAGCTGTCGGAATTGCCCGATGGAAAGGTTAGAGCCAGAGAAGTTTTTCTAACCTTTGATCAGGCATTCATTGCAACATTTTCTAGCTCCACTGTAAGGAAAAAAATAAAAGAGAATGCCTGGTCTTTGATTCTTCCATTTTTACACAATAGTTACAAAATGTACATGTCAGAGAAGACAGATTTTGAAAGGTTCTGATGACACTGAAATGACTGAATGACAGACAGAATTATGGAGTTTTCAAACAGTAACTTGAAACCGTTTGGCATAGTTAGTTAAACAATGGAAGTTAACCACCCTCTTAAACTTGATTTAAAATTTTTTATAGAACCACTGATCTTATAGAGGTTTTGTTTGATTAAAGGTGGAGTGTGGGTCTCTCCTTCCACTGGAAGTTCGATAACTCAGGCTGTTTCACCACAAGACCAAATCAATGATGGAGATTACATGGGTATGTTGTTAACTAGTATGTTCTTGGCAAAAATGAACTTCTGGTTGATTATTTCATTTGATTTAACATTATATCTTATGACTAATAATAATTATACATGGAAAGGAGTTGTCACATTTGCATGAAATACAAAATTGTATTCTTGTGTAATTTTGTTTTAGGTTATTCAGTGACTAGTGGTCATTTCTCAAGCCCATCAAATACAGGTTTGATTAATTACAATTAGACTTCCATTGATTCACAGCAGTAGCAATCCTGGATCAGTTTTCTTAGGGGAATCACTGGGTGCCTGTGTATGCTCTTATCTCAGAAAGATGGTGTTTTTGGCTCAATGGCTCTTTCACTTTCAGGCGTGACCAGGGAATTTCTCTTGAAAGTATCAGTATATTTTCAAATGCAAAGGTGGTAAGGCACAGCTGCAGATCCCAGGAAGTTTGTGCCTTGAGCACTCATCATGGTTTCCTCAACTTGTCACTGTTTAGCCTACACTGTACAGTAGTCTGAACACTAGCAGTGTTGAATAAATGACTGTCAATATATGAAAATCATGTATGTGAACTGCGTTTGAAGAAATGAATATGAAGGTGATCCTCGCAGTTAGGAACACTACTTACTGTAAGAAGTAATGAAAATAAGGCCTGAAAAAAATTCAGGCTCGTAGGGGATTTCAACCCATGACCTCTGCAATACCGGTGCAGCGCTTTACCGACTGAGCCAACAAGCCAACTGGGAGCTAATATTGGTTCTGAATAGTAGCAGCACTGTTAGTCAGCAGTGACAGTTTCTGCCATAGTAATCATCATGATGACAGTACAAGTAGACTTGTCAATGTCAGTCTTTTTTCTGCCGTCTTTTTTTGTTTTTTCTTTTATTTATTTGCTTTTATTTATAATTTATTTATCTTTACACTTTAACTAAACCTGTTTGGGGTGAAAGCTTGGTATTCTACATCTCAAGATAATCAAAACAGAGGAGAAAAAAAGATTTTACTCTTGATTAGTTACTTTAATAGATGTAGTAGGTTTGGTCAAGGTTGATCTTCAGTCAGAATCTGTTTAACACCCTGCCTTAATGGTTAATTAGCTGCAGGGCTGGTGTAATTCTGTGGTAGTCATACTCATGTATTTTGTTTTGTATATTCCAGAGCTTGTGGGTGGTGCACCAAGAGGTGCAGGACTGAAGGGAAAGGTAGTTATGATTTTTCATTGTGAGCACAAAGTTAATTTCAATTTTTTTTAAATTAAGAAACATGACATGGAACTCATTAAAACTGTTAATCAGCAATCAAAGCAGTAGGCTTGTTCTTTATTTTTTTCTTTTTAATTTCTTGTTTCAAACTGGAGTCCTGGGTTCTATGAACAAAGGCCAGCCTATGGCCTTGATCTATCCCATCCCCCATTTTTTAAATTCTGATTTGAAAAAAACCACAACAACAGAAACTGACTAACAGCCTCTTTTTAGGTGTTGGATTTTATCACCTTGAAAAGTAGAGTATATTTTTGTTTTATTGGGTTCCAGTTGTTAATGCTGTTCATGAACATAAACTAAGGTTGTCAGGTGAACTTTAAACAACTGCCAATACCAAGGAGTATTCCTTTCCTTTTGTAATTAGGTTATTATCTACAATTATGATGTGTCTAATGATCAGCAGCAACAAATCAGTGTCAGTTCACCTCTGCCTCAACCTAAAAATATACCGGTATGTCTTGCATAATGTTAAGTCTCTGAAAAATTTATTGTTTCCAGTTTTTTCTTTCTTTTTACATGAAGTTTTTATTTTGATACTTTTTTTCGTATTATGTTTCAATATTAACCTGAGAAGGTTATATACATTCAAAAGCATGTAGATGATTGCAAATTAAAGTAGTCTCATCACTTAAATGCGTTGAATTTTTTTTAAAATTTGTTTTCAGACTGGCACCTATTTTGGGAGTGTCTTATGTGCAGTAGACCTTGATGCAGATGAGTAAGTTTTGCATGCTGAATTTTACTATAATTGCAGGCAAAGTCAAGAGTACATCATTCTGTACTTGATAAATTGCAGATCACATGTAAAGCTTAAAATTATTTTGATGAGAAAAAACGGTATATCACTAAAAGTAAAATCTGCATTGTAAAAATTTGGTGTCACTCCAGCAACAGTGTAGGTTACTGGTGCTCCTGCTCTAATTTTCATGAATAGTTATAAATCCATTGTTTTAATGTCACACACACACACACACACATGTGGCTTAACTGAAGTCACAATTGGGCTCATTACAGTACCCTTAATTAATGATGCTGATTTTTGTGCCAAGGTTCTCAGACATTCTCGTTGGTGCTCCCTACTATACCTACAAAAAAGATGAGGGGCGAGTTTACATCTACTTAAATAATAAGCAGGTTGGTGAAAATTTTTTTTTATTATTAAAAAATGTTTCCTTTGCTAATAGTATAATCTGTCAACTGTCAGATCCCATGTTATTTGACTTTCCCTATACATGTGTGTTCATAGCTGTTAAACCAGTCTGTGTACCAATTTTATCTATGAACTGTCCAGTGATAGGCTAGAGGTGATTTTAACGAGCTTGCCTTTTGATCACTTTTCAACAGAACACTGAACCAAAGTAGTTTAGGAATGTAATGGTTTTGCTACCCTCCCCTCTGTGATTGGTCTGGAAAAATTTGGGCTTATTTATAAACGATTATATCTGCACTAAAATTACTTGCAATTTTGCCACTCAAATTTTTTCGCTTCTTCAAGATAAGTAACTAATATATTGTCATTTTTGTTTTCATTGGTAGCTCTCTGGTTCATCTTTGTGATTACGTTGGCTTTAGCATTACGTACTGAAACAGTTCAAACATTTTATTTCCAGGGTGCTCTTAATTTGCAAGATGAAGTTCTTGAAGGAGATAAGGTGTACAATGCCCAATTTGGAGCAGCCATTGCAGCAGTGGGAGACCTGAACCAAGATGGATTCCAAGGTAAATTAAGTAACTTATCCTTGTTAGAGGAAAGACAGTCATCTCGGGCTGCTAGTTGCCTCATTAGCCAAGCAAGATTTTCCAACCCAGGCTCACTGAACCAGTCAGAAGATCTGATAACCAATTCACTCTACTAGCTGCTGTATGTTTCCTTCTGAATAAGTTTAAGAGCATGTGATTGTATATCACTATTACATAATTTAGATGACTAGTTTGTTTATTTTTTTTTTTCACCTGCTCGCCGAGTGATGCACTGAATTTGAAAAAAAAAAATGCCTATTTCGTTATGGTGCAGGCATGATCAAGGATAAAACTTACAGTGCTAAGGTTGTTACTCTCTTTACTTCTGACAGATGTCGCTGTAGGAGCCCCATTTGAAGGTGAGGATGGAAGTGGTGCAGTGTACATTTACCATGGTAGCAGCAGAGGAGTTGAGACCTACTATAGACAGGTGTGTTGCGGTTAATGGCTGATTCAGTAAATGATAGTTGGAGGTACGTAATAGTTTGATTTAAATCAATGAGGTCATCGTTCTTCACCATACAGAACAATCCTACGCCGGTAAACGACTTACTTTTTTACCACTTTCTCTAAAATGGTTTTCAAAATTGTTGATCTTCTCAATACACGCACGCGCGCACGCACACGCACGCACGCAAACATCGCGTTTAGCAATGCTTAATCAAAAATAAACTATGAAAAACTGAATGTTTTACAGAGTAAACTTTTTATTACTTAAATACTCGTTAAACTTTCTGGACTAATGAAAATATTTTTCTAAATTGGCTAAAAATTTGTGTGCAGAAAATAGTTTCAATTTTAGTTCACACTTGTACTAAAACTCACGAAAGCATCACGGTGACAATGAGTTTCCTACAATGGTCAGAGACACGAAAATCCAGAGTGCACCAAGAACCAATCAGATTGCAGGATTTATCACCATGCCTTCTGAGATAGCAATGAGATTTCACCCAAACTTTATTTCAATTATTCTCTATTTTGTAAAGTTTAAAACATGTAGATGATAAAGCTTAATATCAAATAACGGACGAAAAAAATATTTTTACAGAAAATTGTAGGATCACAAATTAAATCAGGAATCAAGATGTTTGGGGTGTCGATCTCTGGTGGTGTTGATGTGGATCAAAACAAATATCCAGGTAACTTATGTTCTGTATCTTTTCTAAAAACTGATGGCTTGCGAACGGTTCCTCATAATTAGCTCTTCGGCATAAGTGTTCTTTGCCCGCGAGAAAGTACGAGGCCTTGAGCATGATTATATTGCCAGACTTCCAGTAAATCTCTCTCCGACTTGTCTCAAATCCTACCTCGGTCGGCGAAACACGCGTCTTGCAGCGCTGAGCGCAGGCTAACAAATATGATTGATTGGGTGGTTGATGGATTGATCGACTAAAAAAAACTGTTTGGATCATTATCACTCGGGCCATTCCCATGACTGTATGTTTGCTGTCCTTGTGTTTACATTATTTAAATGTGGACTTTGAAAGTTAATTTTGCAAAGCTAAAAAAATCCATCATCAAAGCGTAGGAGGAGGATGTAGCACCTTGGTTATACACAGGTATGTGATCTCCCCGAGAGGAAACGAGCCTGTGCTTTGAACATTTTTTAAATTATTTTTATTTCTAGATATTGCAGTTGGTGCATATGGATCAGAACAAGCTGTTATTGTGAGGTAAACAACTCAAATATTTATTTTTGTGTCTGTCATTTTTTTTATATAGAAATGCTGCTTTACTTTTGGAATCTAGAACTTTATATGTCAAATTTGATACTCTTTTCTAAATTGATGTACTACGAATAGTCCAAATTATTAAACATTATACTTACTGCGAAAACGCCGATTGGTCGAGAGAATACAGTACAAAAGCGCGTAAAGTTGACAGATAAGCTGCAGATACTGGGTTATCATTTCGAGCTCAAAGTCTGCCTTGTCTCCAAGTATCTTTTTTTTGCAGATTGTTGAAAAATGTATAATAAAACAATTATTGAATTCGGTTTTCGCATGATATCATGAATTATCAAACCTCATATCTGTGTTATCATCTTCGGCTTAGGTAGATAACTCAGACCTCGGTATTGATAATTCATGATATCATGCTCAACTTCATCTAATAATTACTTAATAGTATTCTTTGTTCGTCTCAGTGAATGAAGCAGTGAAATCAATACAATTATTTTTTTAGTAGAGGGTAGTGTAGACACATACACATGGTATATTTACATTTGCCTATCTAATGGAGGCGTTTTATTCAAAGAGAATTCTCTACTCCTTTGGAAATTTAAGATGCACTCACAATCTATTTCGCTCCCAGCTCTGCTTGGAACAACAAAGCTAATATTTCAACGACCGTCCTGTGGGTCGTGCCCGATGGCGCGAGAACGGCCTGATGAAGCAGTAGGGATCAGCTTATTGTCCTGTGTGATGAATTAAGAAAGAATATTAGAGAAATAGAAAGAGCGATGGTCATGTGCTAAAATGCTTATTGTGTAAGATAAGTCGGGCCGCACGGGAAAATATCTGGCTTGCGGACTTGAGGCACGGACTTCGAGCTACATATATTCCCGTCGGTCCCACCACTCAGTCAATAAGTTAGTGATTTATATATTTTTTTATCATCATGAAATGTAGGACAAGAAGTATTGTGAACGTGAAAGGTGTCATTCAGCTGAGTAAGTCCCAGATAACCTTGGAGGGCAACGACAGTTTGTGTGATGTGGATGGAGCTAAACATAAGTGGTAAGAATGTGCAGGTATCTGGTTAGAAAACCGGCCAAATGATTAAAACAATTTATTGCAGACAGATTGATTGAGTGTTGGAAGAAAACCAAAGCAGTGCAAGGCTAACTATTTCCTCTTGTTTTGCAGTGTGAACATGACAGTGGTTTTCCAGTACACAGATCAGGTTTCGTCGAGTGGCAGCCAAGGTAGAGTAAGAGGAGAAGGACTTAATTAAAGCATAGCAACTTTGTCAAATGAACATACCGCTATTTTCAAATGAGTGTCGAAAGTAATCCGGAATTGCTCTGATTTTGCTTCACTACGCTCTGTAATTGGTCCAGTAAACTCGCGCGCCACTACCCCAACCAATCAGATGCAAAACAAAAACCATACTGAACTTGGTCGTCTGTGTTTTCCCGCGCTAAAGGTTTGATTTTGGTTTTACGAGACTTAATCGAAAAGCGCTCTTAAGAAATGTGATTTTATCAACTAAGTTGTTGATGTAAATTGTCCATTGTAAAAAGTTCGTAAAGCCGACACTGACGAAGGGTTAACAATCGAAACGTCTTCAGTTTAGAAACTTTCTACGGTGGCCAATTTCGTTATCAGCGACTGAATCTACCGTGATTCAACAAGGGCTCTCGTTCCTAAGTTTTTCTAACCAATGCAGGTCTTTAAGTTATTTTTCTTCAGCATCGCTTGTTACTTTTCAGGTCTGTACAACTTAAGGTATTCTGTGGAACTGGACAAGGGAAAAGAATCTGATGCATTGCGTCGTATGTTTTTTTGGAACCCGTCTACGAAGAAGAAGAGCTTCATCATGAGCGGGACCTACAATATTTCGACTCAGAACCAATTTTATTCCCTTCCTACAGAAACAGTATATCTGTTGGTATGAAGATTATTTTTTTTAATGCTTCAATAATAAAATACACTCGTCATATAAGGAAGAGGCACATCTCCAAATGGGGCTAAACAATTGTAAATGAATTGTGAATATTTTGAATGACGCTCTCATACATATTGAGTTGAAATTTACTGGAAAACTGGAATTTCTTTTAAGATCCGTTGGTTAATGTTGCAATCGGGTTCCTTCCATTGACGGTACGGATTGAAATCGGTCCAGGCCTAGCTGGGTCTGTTTTTTGAGTAGGATAAATATTTTCTTCTTTTGGTACACTCGCGTGGACCACTCACAGATTACTTTCGAAGCTTGAGTATAAATTTAAAAAAGTGCAAATACTTCTAGCATTGAAAACACGCGAAATTTAATTTTTTGGACAAACCTAAGTTATGAGAAAAGCCATACATCTCGGCGACTTTGGCCAGCACCTTTGAAACATGTAAGTTTAATAGGAGGAATGTATTTTTCCCACTGTAGGATAAGAATGAAGTTGCAGATGTCGGCTCACTACTCACTTTTGACTTGAGCTTCTCATTGCCCGCAACTGGTTGTACTGGTTTATGTCCGGTTCTCAACAGCTATCTGCCTGATAACTACCGAGGAACGGTAGGTTTTGAGTTCTCAGTGACATCGTTATTACAGTGGAAATATCGTGCCGCAAAAGCTCTCATCCCAACGGAAAACAGGAAGGCGATGAGCGAAAAGAAATTTTAAGGCGGATCTCCTTGAAATATTACAACAACACTGAACAGCAGCAACAACAAGAACAATCTGTAACTGTTTTCTTCCTTTACTAATAATTACCTGGACCGACCATTGAAATCAGCCGGAGTACAGGCTACCTGGAATAATCATGAGAACTCAGTAGTAGAGCTATAACGAGGTTCTCTGTGAGTTAATGACTCTTACGGCTAACGATTAAAATTGTGGCCATTATACGGCCAACTGTTCATTTCTATCCTTTACTGTTGAAAGAAGAGTTTTAATGGCTAACGGTTAAAAATTTTTATGCCTGACGGCTAATTTCTTTTGCTGCGTAACGCTTGAACGGTAAACTCAGTGAGACCCAACCCTCCATGACACGTTTTCCTCTGTGCATTGTCCTTAGTCTCTTTCTTTCACAGGTTGCTTTTAGAAAGAAGTGTAAGAATCAGCTAGCTTGTGTGCCAGATCTGGCTGTTAATGGTAGCATTTTGTATTCACCAGGGTAAGCATTCATGTCTTCCCACACTTCCCATGACTGAAATATTCCAACGCTCTCTTTACTGAGAATATCTTTTACCGCAATTGTTAGGGAATGGAAGTTTTCCCATACTTATTGCAAGTAGCTTGTTTTTCGCGTTTGTTTACGGTTACATGTTTTTCGTGCATGTTGGAAACCACAGAAAGTACTTTCCCATGCTCTATGGGGCCACGGAAAACATTTTCCTCGTACTTGTGGCATATTACTTAGTTCCCGTGATTTCTTTAAGCTACTTGTATCCCAATATATTCACAATACGTTATTTCCTTCCTGAATCAATCAAGAAGATCCTCTAAAAAAATTTGTCAAAAAGTTATCCTGTAAACTCAAGATTTCCAGACTTTCTTGTTGACTAAACGCTCTTAATCACAACGTTTACATTGATTCGTTTCTTTCATAGAGACCTGAAGCTTAAAGAAGTTCGAATTGGGGTTATCAGATATTTCACTGTTATGCTGACTGTCACGAATAAAGTTGAAGATTCTGCGTACTACTCCACTATCACAATGAAACTCCCTGCTGATCTGGACTACATCGGACCCACACAGGTTAAAGAGTAATTTTCAACAGTGTCGAAAATAACCCAGGACTGCTCTAGTTTTGCTTTACGTCGTTCTCTGATTGGTCCAAAAAAAAAAACTTGCACCATGTTCTCGACCAATCAGCTTCAAAACTAAAACCAATCGCGCCTTGCTCAC